AAATTTTAAGTGTGAAATTAGACAGGTAATGTGTTCACATATGGTGATACAACTTTTCTTGGAAGTCGACTAAGCGAGCACGAACAACAACATGGAATCAAGCCGAACTGATAGCATTATACGACAGTGATCGAGAGCGAGCATGATAGAGATTGATGATCAATCTCATATAAGGAGCATGCAGTTTGAAAGAAATCAAGAAGAATACTACGATTATATACAAAGATAACGCAACATGCATAACTCAAATCAAGGAAGGCTACATCAAGGGAGACAGAATGAAGCAAATCTCAGCAAAGTTTTTCTCAACATCTGATATGCAGAAAGAAGGAGAGATCGATGTTCTTCAAGTTAAATCAAGCAAAATTTGGCGGACTTATTCACCAAATCTCTACCTAGACACAGTTTTGAGCAACTCATAAAGAAGATTGGACTTCGCACGCTAAAAGAGATAAATTAGTTTGAGGGGGAGTATATTTTTATTTTGAGGGAAAACATTATACACGTTGTACTCTTTTTCCCTTAACTAAGTTTTGTCCCACTGGGTTTTCTTAGTAAGGTTTTTAATGAGGCAGCATAACTGATCCTGCAGTATCAGTTAATATAGGTCCTGAAGAACCTAGCCAACATTATCCCGTAGCATAATGTTGTTAGTGTATAATGAACGATGATATATCTGAGGGGGAGTGTTAAATATGACAGATATATTACTCTTATTATTTAGAATATTTGGTTACCTTGTTTACCTATAGTTTACCTTCTCCCCGTGTATGTATAAATACCCCGACATTTGATGAATAAAGTATTCAGTTCACAACACTTAGCAGCGTTCATGGACCTCTTTTTTTAATTTACGGAGTATAAAAGAAAAGAAAAAAAAAGGACCACCGCAAGTGGCGGACGGAACACCGCAAGCAGCTCATCAAACCAGCCATGCCGCCGTTAAGCACCATAACCATAGCCGCCGTCAATCTCTTGGCGTTCCTGAGCTCCTTCATCCTCACCGCCGCCGGACTTATTGCGTCGTTGAACACGCGGTGCTTCCACGCGCTCCGGTGGCCAATTGTCTTCGCCGGGATGGCGGTCATGCCCGTCTCCCTCGCCGGGCTTGTGGGCGCGTGGAGGGCGGTCGCCGGACTTCTCCGCTTCTACCTCGTCTCATTAGCCGTACTCATCGCCCTCGTCATCTGTTTTGCACTCTTGGTGTCTTCGGGTTCTTCGTCACGCGCCCCTTCGGCGCGTACGACGTCCAGGGATACCGGGAATACCGGCTGGGAGGGTACTCTTCTTGGCTGAGAGAGTATGTTACGAGGTCGGATAATTGGGGAAGGATTAAGGCGTGTTTGGTTGAAAGGCATATTTGCTCCAAACTTAACAAAGAGTATTTAACTGCTGATCAGTTCTTTTCTGCTCGTATCTCCCCTCTCCAGGTAACAAACATTAATTGAAAATAATAAAAATTGAATAGTAGCTATATAAATTTAATATCATCATACTAATTTTGAAATGTAATATTGAAATATCATATTTTTATCATTTGTGTGTGTGTGTCTATATATGTGTGTGTGTGTGTAGATTTTGGATCAATTGATAATAAGATCTAATGAAATAAATAAAAATGTATCTCGTGCATTAAATGTAAGATCTAAGGGCTTGAAAAGTTTTAAAAAATTGAAAAATCTGAAAAACGTGGTGGCAGTATGGTAAATAACTTCAGCTTTACTCCTAGTGTCGAAAATGCATCACCACGATAAGGTCTATTCTCGCAGTAAGGATCATTTTCACTTGAACCAACCTTATAGGGAGAATTAGAGACTCAAAATTTTTCTTTCATCTGCATCACTTTTAAGTTTCAACCACGCATTTCCAAGTTTCTTAAGTTTCATGCTAAATCAAACTATGAGTTAATAGTCAAAGTGTTGCATTGAAAATCGTAAAAAAGTAAATGAGAAAAAAGATTTGAGACAGAAATTTTTTCTTTCTTAATTTTTGGTATAAAAAATTTGTCAAATTGTGACTCTATTTTTAGAACAGATTTGTAGTAAAATGTTGTCAAATTTTGAATATATATCTTATTAGAACAAAGAGAGTAATTTATTGTTGATGCAGTCTGGTTCTTGCAAGCCACCGACTATGTGCGGGTACACCTACGTGAACCCGACAGTGTGGGATAGCCCGACCAACGCCACAGCGGACCTAGATTGCTATGCTTGGAACAACAACCTCAAACGACTATGCTACGATTGCAATTCATGCAAGACTGGGTTTCTAGGGATTCTAAGGAAAATATGGCGCAAAGCCAACTTGATCTTGATGATTTTCATCGTCTTAGTTCTCATATCGGTCTATATTGTCGCTCACATCGCCTACAAAGAAGCAGAGTTCGATGAATCCTTACACAGGCCGTGCCAAAGATGGAATAATGTTCAAAGCTGGTGGATGGGCGTTCCTGCTCTATCACCCTCACCCCATCCTCCTATATAATGCAAGTATCTATACCATATAACCAGATGTACGATATTTCTCGGACATCCGCATGAATATTCATTGCGAGTACCCGTATGCTTTTTTTCAAGCATAATTGAATTTTTGAGAAACGAGTGTATTCAGTTACTCAAGAATGAATATTCAGTTACTTGTAAATAAGCACTCACCGCGAATGAATGAGAAACATTATATAACAGGTATTACGATATGTATTGTGATACGATGCATACATTTATCTACACACACATAATTTTAGTTACACATCAATAATTGTCTATTATGGATTTCTAGAGGTTACGCTTTGTCGATATTTTTAAATAGTTCTGTAATGTGTTTTTGTTGGCCTATCCCGCACAATGTTAATTAAAGTCTAAAAAAATTTGTGGTGGTTTGCCCGACTCAAGCAAGCGCGAAAAAAACTCGTGTTACGTTTCAAAATGAATCTGATCTCTAGATACAAATTTTATGTCATATTTTCAATGAATTTTTTTGTAATAGTGGTCAAAATTTAGATATGTTATTCACAAAATTCAAAATGGATAAAAAAAAAAAGAAAGGGAGCTAGGCAGTAAATTGCAAGATCTCAAAGTTAAAACTTAACAAATGAAACATTTATTTCAAAGAAAACAAAAAGATACTCATTATTAGTACAACATATATAGTTTCATTCACAACCTAACATATATAGAATGAACTATGAACCACACATATTATTGGTAGTACCACAACATTTAACGACTCCAAACGCAACAAAAGTACATAGAAGTGTTTTTTTAAACGGATTTTTAGTGACAGAGAAAATATTACTCCGTATTAATCAAACAAACTCATCAAGAGAAGTTTAATTAATCAATTAGTTTAGTTCATTGGAGGTGGTAAAAGGGTAGGAAATGTTGGGAGTGAAGGGAGAGCATTAGTAGAAGGTTGAACGAAAGGCAAGTTCAGCGACGAGGCCGGCGGCGGAAGCAGCGGTTCTCCGAACAAAGTGGCGGCGTCCGGCAGCGGCGGCGGCAGCGGAAGAAGCGGGGTCGTCAGAGTTTCTCCCGATATGACCGGAGATGTCGGAAGAACGGCGGAGAGTATGGGGGGGACGTCGGGGAGTTGTTGGAGCACGCGAATGGCGTGACTCGTTTGGATGCCGGAAAGGGAGAATGCGAGGAATAGGAAGATGGAGAATATGGGAGGAGACTTGGGAATAATAGCCATTTGGGGAATTTGTCTTTTGCAAATGATGGATGTGTGTGAAGTATATTAAGAGTGATTAAAGCCTATTTATATATTTACGAGAATGTGTATTTTGGTATTGACTTTCCAAAAATGTCTTTGGATGTGATGAATAAAAGTAGGATCTGGTACGTAAATTAATACTGAAAAGGTAGGTTAAGAATTACTCCATCCGTCTCACAAAAAAGTTCCCATTTTGAATGGTATTTAGTCAAATATTTTACACGCTTTGACTACAAATTGCGAGAAAGGTATATTGAATTATGAAATAAATTTTATATAATTGGATTCATCTTAGGATCTAGTTTTGATATCTTAAATTTTTTTAGCATTTTTCTTTATTTAGATTATATTTAATTTAGAGTCAAAGTGTGCAACAGTTTGACCAATTTATGGTCAAAATGAGAACTTTTTTGTGGGATGGAGGGAGTAGTAGGGATAAAAGTGACTTTTTAATAGAGATGAGAAATTTTTTTTGGAACGGATAAAAAAAGAAAGAAGAAGGATTTTGTGGGACGGAGTGAGTAAATATGGGAGAAATACTAAAGTAAGACTAAAAAAATTGAAAATATACCAAAATAGGACTTCCATGTTTTTATTCTCGAAATAGGACTTAAAATTCATCACACTACCAAACATGGTTATGTATTTTCCAAAAAATATAGTAATGTGCACATTACAGTGTCACATTATCATACTCCTAAGTTATATTTCGATGAAAAAATATGAAAGTCTTATTTTGGTATTTTTCTAAGTTTTAGTCTTATTTAGGTGATTTCTAATTTATATATACAAATTAAATTTAAAGCTAAGGAATTGCTTGGATTGATATTAAATGGATGGTAGTTTTGTTCAACTTCAAAATCCACACCTTTTAATTTGATCACCTCTTTTTTCAACTTCAAATCCACGCATATTATTATTTAAGATGTACGGAGTATTATAGCACCACATGTGTTTTTCTTCCCAATGTAGCACTTTTAGTCATTATACATTAGTCATTATTCAAGTAAATATTTGTCATCACTGGACATTATGGACATTATTAAATGCTATTTAGAGAATAAAACAATTTAAGTGCTATTTAGAGAATAAAACAATTTAAGTGCTATTTAGAGAATAAAACAGTTTAAGTGATATTTAGAAAAATTACTTAAGTTTTAGTGCTATTTAGTGCAAATATTTCATTATCTATTCCAATTAATCAAAAACAGAAATATATATACTACTCATAATTTTTCATTCTTTTAAATTTATTATAGCAAAAGATTTTCTCAACACTAACAATTTTATTAATATCTAGTATCTGTTCACACATTTTTAACTTTTTAAAAATATAAATACAGTTAATTACCGCCCTAAAGACATTCTAATATATTTTGAAATTACGTGGAAGTCAAAAAAATGGATTGACCGAAATTAAAATTAAAGAATTCTACTAATAATGTTAAAGTATCCCACATCGAAAATTGAAAAGAAGAATATTCAATATATATGTTTTTGGGTTGAACTAATTAATTGATTGAACTCAATCTTTTGATTTGGTCTAGTCTAAATATTTATGCCTCAATCGATTAATCCTTTTCAAACCCTAAATTCTACGGAGTATTAAATAGAATGCTCACTTTCAAAATTCGTCTTTTATTTACACTATGTTTGGTTTAAGAAATTTAAAAGGAAAAGAAAAAAATTTGTTTTTCTCATTTTCCTCACCAAAATGGGAAGAATTTAGTTTTCCCTCCTCTTAAGATTTTTTTGCCTTCTCATTTCATTTTCCTTCCACTTTTTCTTTTTTTCTTCTCTGACTAAACAAGAAAAAATATTTTCCACCTCATTTTTTCCCCTTTCAGATTCCTTAAATCAAACATAGTGTTAGAGTCTGTTTGGGAATAACGTTAGAAATTAACGTTAGCATTTTGGATAAAATTTTAACGATGCAGATTACTTTAAAAATATTAATGCTAAACGCTGTCCGCACATAGTCTTTTCAAAATGTTAATGTTACTTTTTAACATTATTCTCAAAGTCCTTAATGTTTTTTAAAAAATGTGTCCATCCACCGAAAATATATAGTGAAAATTTCTCCCATATCTTTGAAGTTATTTTGTCTGTTTTTCTTTTGAAAAGTCTAAAAAGTTATACCTTTTTCTATAAAAAATTTATAGTAATTGTCAATTGAAAGTATATTGAGCTTTTAATCATTTTTGGACTTTCAAAACGGTTATTCATACTACAAATCATATTGACTCACGCACGTCAAAATACTTCAAATATATCTTTATGAGATCAAGAAAAAGATCTGAGCGCAGAGATTTTCAAATTGTATTCCTCATTTCCCTAAATTGGGTAAACCTATTAATGCCCATTTTAAAATATAGTATTTCCTCCGTCTTAAAATGATCTTTCCAATCACTTTCTTTATTAATTTCGGTTAGTTATTTGATAAAATAATATAGATATGTCATTCTTGTTTTGTACTCCCTCCGTTCCACAAAACCCTTCCGGTTTTGACTTTGGGGAAAAATAAGGAAAGTGTAATTTTGGTTGACTTTCCAATTTTGCCCCTGATGTGATAGGAAAAAGTAAGATGAGATAGTTTGGTTATTAGTGAAAAAGTATGATGTGATAGGTAAGGTATGAAAAAGTAGGGCTAAAAATGGTTTTTTAATAGAAAGTGGAAGTGTTTTGTGGAAAGCAAAAAAACCGAAAGAGAAAGGGTTTTGCAGAACGGAGGGAGTATAAGTTTTGATGTAGTTTTAAAATATATAATTTTCATTTTTTAATTTACACCTATAATCAAATAAATTTAATTAAAAATAATTTCAATCAAATCTCGTAAATTAAACTGGGAAGATCATTTTAGGACGGAGAGAGTAATATGTTCCGAAAAGGGAAAAAGACTAAAGTAGGAGTAAAACATTGAAAATATATCAAAATATGACTTCTATGTTTTTATTCCCGAAATATGCGTTAAAATTCATTTACATTAAATTACCAAACATTGTCATGTACATTACCAAAAAGTATAGTAATATGCACATTAGCAGTGCCACATAACAACCACATTACCACAGTGCGAAATTCTATTTTGAGAATAAAAACATGGAACTCTTATTTTGGTACTTTTTTTATAAATATTTTAGCTTTATTTAAGATGATTTCTATTTCGAAAAGATTCCACTCTAATTTTTTACGCATCTCACAAAAGAGTACTATCCTCCCTTAAAATTAAAATCGTCGTGAATATACACTAATACACTTTGTTTCTCCTTTATGCGGGTATAACTTATTTTCATGGTATTTTAAATATTTTAAGTGAGTAAAAATATTTTGTGGGATGATAAAAAATGAAGGATAAACTGTTTTTCGAATTGAAACAGGTGAGGATAAATTCCTCATACATTTTTCATTTGATTTTTTTTTTTGGCATTGTATAAGAAACGATGAAATTTTGTTGCTAGAATTCATGTGCCAGTGAGAAATAGTATAAACTACAGTAAAAAATTATTTTGATGGTCAAATAAAAAAAAAGTTTAGAGAAAAGATATAATACTCCCTCCGTCTTTAAATGATTTACACACTTTACTATTTAAAAATTGCAAGAATTTTTATTTATTTGTGTGTTTCCATTGTCCACCACATCGTTGAGTTTTAATTTACTGAGTCTATTAAGGAATATATAAATTGTGCAATTCATATTACTCCCTCCGTCCCAAAATATTCACAACATTTGCTTTTTCAGCAGTCGCGGGAACTTTTGTTTATTTCTATATTTTCATTGGTTATTTGATAAAATAAAATATTCTTGACACCTCTTATTTCGAAGAACTTTTCATGTAGTTTTTTGATATGTAAATTTTATTTTTTATTTCTATACAAATATGTAAATAAAATGAATTGAAAAAACTTGATATTTTGCCTCGGAAATACAAATGTGGCAAATATTTAGGGACGGAGGGAGTATTTCTCTGTGTATCCCATGCTTTTACTTTTTCTCAAAATCCATGAGAAATAATTAATGTTAAATATATTAAATATATTTAATATTATTGTATTATGATTTGTTTCCATACTTGTATAGCTTTCCTAGAATACCTCTCCTACCATAACTAGGATTGAGATGTTGTATATATATACATGTACTCCTCACATAATTAATCCAAGGAAAATACAATTCTTCATGGTATCAAAGCCACACCAAAAACCCTAAAAATTCTCTCCCCCTTGTTTTGGCCTCCCCCTTCTGCCGAGCAGCAGCGCCGCCGCACCTCCTCCCTCCTCTCTTGGCCGGCTCCTCCTCCTCCACCATGACGGACAGTGAGATCACATCTCAATCCTCTAGCCCAAAACCTCCTCATCTTGCTTTCTCCGTCTCAAATGTCAAACTTCATGTTCCAATTCAACTCAGTTTTTCTCAACCAAACTATAAAAAGTGGAGCCGCTTGTTTCTCCTTCTTGCACGGCGGTTCAATCTCCATGGCTATCTCAATGGCTCTATTGCTCCCATCTCCGACGACGACGACGAATGGTTCCAACTTGATGCTATTCTTCAGGGATGGATTCTCTCCACCATCACAGATGAGGTGTCTGATCTTGTTCTCTCTTCTGTCTCTACTGCATCTGCCCTCTGGAAGATGATTCATGATTTGTTTCACGACAATAAGCACGCTCGAGCCATGCAACTCGAGCATCAATTTCGCACCACCGTCAAAGGATCTACCCCTATGGCTGCATATTGTCAAGAGCTCAGGAATATTG